CTATGTAATTGATCAATCAATGTGGGGGATTGTTGGATTTTAATCTCATTAGAGATTATACCTACATACTAATTTTGAAAAACAATTTTTCTCTTACTAAAACTAGTTTTGAACTTGTCCCACATTGGATATTTACAAGTTTTGTTTTGTGATTTTTAATAGGAGYTGATTTACACTCCTTAAAAATAGTAGARGAGAGTATGGAGGTTTGATACCGCGCAACGTGCATGCACGTGTGTGCGTGCATGTGTACAGTATAATGAAGCGCTTTAGAGGTGTACTTTGCTCGCACCTGCGTGGCTGCGAAGGGCAACTTTTGGTTTTGATGCGACGTTGACCGTTGATCACCGTCGATGAGATCAACAATCACGATTTGATTGGGTGTGATCAAGATGCACAATTCAAAGTTAACAGTCATTAACTATTAACTATCTTTTAAACAGTCACAATGTTTGAAATTGTGACTGTTCAAAGAACTTACTCTGAACCAACACCTACCTTTTCTTCATAACTCTTCAAAAACTATTTAAGGGGCATGAATCAGACATCTTACACACAACATTTTCGAAATTCACTTTCTCTCTTTCTCTCTTAATCCGGTCTGCTACAGTCTCACAGAAGGTTCCTTTGGAGACTCTTCAACTTTGCTGATTGCATATTCTCGCCCAATGCTCTGTTGTATCATGGGAAGGGATTTGCCTGTAACCCAATAGCAAACTCAATGAAAACTGAGTGGGGGCAAATAACGTTCTAAAGACAATGTCTTCAAATGTGCCTCAAAGCTTCTCCTCCAAGTTTCAGTGACCCCATTTTCCAGTCTCAAGAAATACCCAATTCCTTGATTAGTTGATTGATTGGATCAGTATCTTAAATACTTAAAAGGGTAAAAAAAAACTACCATCTTAATTGTCTGGCTCTGAATTTAATTTGATTAGATGGCACTAATAGATAGCTTGAGTGTTGGAATATTTTTATATAGAACAACCATTATATATATCTTGTCTCCTACATATCTTTTGATTGTTTTAAAAAATCATTAGTCAATTTTTTTCTTATTTGCATGTAATTAAACAAGATGGGACATAGATTTTCTCTTCAAATTGAAGAGACTTTAGTTCTTGTTTGTTTAATAAATGCATTTTTAAGTAAATCCATTTAATTGTTATTTTTGCTGCATGGTAAGCCGATAGCTACAGGTTCCTGTAGAAGTAGTTAATAACTTGCAATAACGTTAACTATTTTAAACCCGGCCCATTCATTCTACCTACCTAATAACTATGCGACACTTCTGTGGCTGCAAATTGAAACTCAGCTATGAACTTGAAGTATATATTATATATATATATATATATATATATATTGGGACCTTGGCTAATATTGCCGTTGAAATTTCATTGTAATAATATAATTCAGATAATACATTAGCTATCTCGTGTGCCACCTATATAATGTTAACGTGCAATGGACGTGAATGTCTAATTAAGGGTCAACTGCATGCGTAGTGTTGATGAGATCCGGGTATTATATGGTTGCAACTTGCAACGTAACCACTTATGACTTAATCTACACTAAAGTCAAAAGAAGGTGAGAGATTCCATCTCATGTATTGTATGAGAAGGTAGGAATGACCTTTACTAATCTTCGCCGATTCTTATTTCTTATTCAGTTATTTGTTGTTAGGGAATTTGAGTCAACTGTCAGATTGGAGAAATCTGAAGCAAAACATGGGCCCCTGCATGTCATTTTCTGCAATGTAACTGATCAACAAGCCCAACTAACGCTCAATTAGATAAACCACACTAGGGCTACCTGACCTGTAAATGGATTGAATCCAATTATTAGATGAATCTTAGTGCTGGGCTGCTTGCCAGAGATCATCGATGTTGAATTTTTTAGTAAAAAATTAAATAATTTTTTTTATATTTGGATTGAATGGAATTTGGATTATAAAGTGTTGGAGTGAAATTTAAAATTTTAAGAATTTCTCTTATTTTTGAGTTTTGTTTTTTTTTTCTTTTCTTTTGAATATATGGGAATATTCTTTGTCCTACATTATTTGGGAAAGGAATAGAGGTGGAGTATATTTATAGTTTTACTCTCTCTTGGGACTCATAGGAGGAAAGTACTATATATATTCTCATGCATGTGAGGGGGGGTTGGACTTTTAAATTTCAATTTTAATTTTTAATGTTTTGTTTTCTGTTTTGTGTTTCTTCTTCTTTGTGTGTCTTCGAACAGATGCACTATTCTGAAGAAGAAGCCTTTATCTGAAATGGCACTTTTGTATCCAAGTGACTGAGAACACTCTATAAAAAGAATGTTGGTCGACTTAGAAACACACACCAGTGCATTTAATACAGTCTTTTCTTCTCTGAACATCATTCTTTGTGATTCGTGGAGGTTTGATAAGCGGGTGCACACTTACCAGTGATTCTCTTTTTTATCCTCCTCTCTGCAAGTTCTCAGTTTCACAATTCTACAATACTATAAATTCACAAATTCTCAATTTAAAAAGCGACTACCGATAAATTAATTTCATTCTGCATTCTTTATTATTTTACAACATAAAATCTGACATATATGGATGGTGCCATAGTGGTTGGACCCACATAATCAGATATATATAACGCGCAGGCCGATTGCCACTGCCTCATCCTGTTCCTATATAACCCCGCCTCGCTCGCCCCGCTCATAGTCATAGGAACTCTCACCAACTGAGGTGAGGTTTGTGTATGTGTTTCTCCCACTCCGGCCCAAACAAATGGACGGAAACAACGTTGCTTATCGTTTCTTCCCTTGTCTCTTTCTACTTGTTTCAAACTAAGTTTAATTAATACATGTGCCTCTCCTTCTCAGGCCTCAGGTTATTGTCTGTCTTGTTATTTGATCCATTCCTCCTTTTTCTTCACTTTTCATTCAAAAAGTTATTTTTAAGCCACTTATTTAACTATTTTATATTTTATAGTTTTAAGTGAATCTAATTCCATCCCATCCGAATTTTAAAGGTATGATGTCATCATCCACGCAGCTTTCAATTTCAATCCCTTGGGCCACTGCCCACCGGGTCACACTTTCTCTCTTGTATTGTATTGGTAGCTTTTTCTCCCATGAGCAAGGATCGACGATAATTGAACACAAAATATCGCACTAGGATAAGGGGTCAACAAGGAAAACCGAAAAACTAAACTGATTAAAAAAATTGATCAAAATCAAATAAAAAATTTGGTTAATTGAATGGTCGGTTCAGTTTCAGTTAATCAAAATGACCGATATACATATATTTGTATATATTTTATGTATATTATATATATTTTATATTTTTTATACATTATAAATTAATAAATATGCATATATATAAATATATATTTATAATATATAATATATTATTTATTATTTAAAATATAATAATTTATATATATTTCTAGTGTTTTTATATATTTATATATTTTTTATAATATATATTGCAAATAATAAAAAACTAACAAATCGAACCGATGGTTAACCGGTTCTACTCTCACCGACTTTGACTAGTCCTGTTCTACTCTATCTCCCATCGAACAGGAAAGGTGTCACCGGCCCTATTTTGCTCTCCCATTCCTCTCTCTCCCTCTTTCTCTATCACCGACTTTGTTCGACTCTGTTAGAGGAAACCCTATGGCATTCTCATCCCATCTCTGGTGCCAATTCGAGAGTAAGAACGACAATCACTACGGGTGACTGCTATTTCCACCATTATCGTCGACAGGCCTAGACAGGGTGGCGTAATTGATATTGTGACTTGTGAGAGGGTCCTTTTACTGTCTGGATTGGTTCCACTCTTTAGATTGGTTCCGTAGGAAGAATGGGGTTGTTGCAATAGGAGCTGACCATTGTAGAAGGAGCTGGCCACTGTAGAAAGAGTAGGTTTTGGGTTCCAATAGTAGATTTGGGACTTGTGAGTGAGAGAGATGTCATGCTTCCTCTTGAACCCTGTAAAAGATCTGGGATCTGGGACCGCTATAGAAGATCTAGGACCCCTGTAAGTGAGAGATGGCATGCTTCCTCTCAAACTCTATAGAAGATCTGGGATTTGGGACCGTTGTAGAAGGACCACGTTTTGTGTTCCAGTAGCAGATCTAGGACCTGAGAGAGAGAGATYTAGGACCATTGTAGAAAGACCCTCTCACATGATGTCGTCAGCCTCCACAAAGCTCTAGGGTTTCCACTGTCCTTGGCATCAACTGCTCTCTCAATAAACAATCACTAAGAGAGTAGCACCTACGATTCTTGTCAGGAAAGAGAGAGAGACCATGGAGAACATGTTTGTAAAATAATTATGGCAAATCTATACTACTAACAAAAGAGTGAATAGCCTCATTTTCTGGACTTTTCATTAGACATTTTTACCCCTTATCTAAGCAACATATAATGGGCATAAAAAATGGCATATAATGTAGGTACATATATGTTGCTTATGTTGCTTATAAGGCTATTCACCCCATATATGTTGCTTATAAGGCTATTCACCCCATATAATGTAGGTACATTATAAGACATTTTTACCCCTTAACTGTCAACTTATAATAGTTAAGAAATTGCCCACTTATAACTATTCAAAAACTGACAATGAATTGTAAATAGTTTTATCTTGGAGATATTTGTCATGTGCAAATGTAGGTACATGTTTACTAGTTTGAAGAAGAACAGGAAGAAAAAAGAAAGATGGAGGGAAGAGAGAGAGAGGTCGGAGGAGGTAGGGGCTGATAGTTAAGAGGAAGGGGATAAGGGTAATATTGGGTTTTAAAAAAATTTTAAACGTTACATGGATTCATGTGTGTACTGATTTTGATGGAACATTAATGGATGCTGACGGTAGGGGTAGAGCTAGTCAATTGTTAGA